CATATTGTAACACAATAAAATGTGAAAAAGAGGGTGAATACTTTTGAGAGTCACTGTACAACCTATTTGTACAACAGTCCCCTCCAGAGTGACACAGAGTAACAATTCTGTATCAGCAGCCCCACTATAGAGAAAATAAGCGTGGAATGAGAAATTAATTCACCAGTTGAATTAAGGGGGATGTATAGGGAGATTAGACTGTACATTCCCAGAAAAGAACTTAGCCAAGACACCATGGTTCTCACATTTACAGTCACAAACAATGTCCTTGGATCTTTAGTGACCAAGTAGTCAGGAACGTGGTTTAACACCTCTTCTGAAGAACTGGAATTCCTCCAGCACCTGCACCCAGGTATCATACCGGGGATTTGGTTTGGAAATAATAGCCCAAAGAGATGAGCACTGCCTGCTGGTTAGACAGCACCACTTACAGCAGTAGCCTAATTTGTATGGTGGTCTCTCATTCAGGCATTGACCAGACTCTGCCCTGCTTAGCTTCTGAAATCTGGCAACAGGATAGTAATGCAAATTAGGTGGAAACTGAATCCCAAGTGATGGCTCTGAATCCAACTGCCATAAGGGTCAAACAAATTAGCCCATCAGACTGGATGAAGCCCTTGGGCCATACATTAGACACACTTGTGTTACTGAGACCTGCTTCAACATTGCATGCTTCTCCAAGTCTGACCAGACTATGAGCCTGCAATAACCACTGTGTCTTTCCTATGATGAATTGTTCAGAGTCATCTGCATGCGTGCACCCTTTCTCAGTCTCTGAAAACAGAACTGAGAGAACATTCCTGCTTGAGCTTTATTATTGTTTTTACAGTATTGTTTACAGATGCAGCCACTCAGAATGCTCGAGGTGTAATGTGCCGTACCACAAAGAACATGCCGCAGTACACTGAAACGCCCAACACTTTTTTATTTTTTCAAATAATTTGATGCAGGTTTGCACTACTGTGTAAAACTGGCAGGTGGTGCCATGAATCCTAGCATAAGTAAATATTATATTAAAAATAAAGTATTTTTTTCTGTGCTGGAAGGAAAAGAAAAAAGTCACATTGTGCTGCAGTCTTCTTCTTTTCTTCTTCCATTCTCTTCTATTCTCCTTATCTACTTTTTTTTCAGCATGGAATAAACATTTACCTGTTCCTTTGCAGCCAACGCATGCTGATGCAGCTACCTACTTGAACTTCATAACAAATAAATGGATATTAAATCATTAGTGCTTTCCAGCATGGAAAGTGTTTTCTAGTCATGCTGTACTAGACATGGCTTTCAAAGCATATGGCATTTACAAGCAAATAAACACAAACTCTACCGTAAAAAAACAGAGTTTGGTTCTCCTCTGCTGCTACAGTGGAGCTGAAAAAAAAGCTGCTTTATCTCAGGAACAAAAGCAGCACAAATGCTACTTTCTACAGCACAAACTAAGCACATTGTTAATTCTCAGTAAAGTAAATTACTTAAAGTAAACATTTCCTTAGCTGTTTTTTTTTCATTTCCTGCATCAGTTTTGAATAATTTTAGTCCATTCTTCTTTGCAAAACTGCTTTAACTTGGTAACGTTTAAGGACTGCATATCAGGGTCCTATAGTGGACTGTTCCCCCTCCCACAATGTTTAATATCTGAGAAATTAACTCAGCAACTGTATAATAAATTAAATAAGAAAAACCTGTTGTTAAATTCTGGCAATTAACTGTTAGCCAAATAACAAAGACTAATAGCAACATGTGGATTTATGATAGATTACTGGGAAAAGACCAAGATTAATGCTTCATTCACTTTTTCCATGGCTTTTTATTGTAGCTTTGTCCAAGCTTGATTAAGTTAGCAACCATATCTAAGGAGGGGTGGGGCCATGGGTTTGGTTGTAGTATTTTCTTCTCTTTCGTTGTTTATATTGTACTCACAACAAAAAGCATGAAATCTTTCAGGTTCAATTTAATCCCAGAGTATACCAAATGTGTGAATACTGCCATATGAGACATGAGTTAAAATGTTCATTTGAAACGTATTTGTATATATTTGTTTCCTATAACTGCCCTTTTTCCTTTACCATTAATAATACAGTACATACTGTAAAAAAAAAAAAACAAATAAAGACTACACTAAGGGCCCTGAGTTCAGTCGTTGGGGTGTAGAGTTTTTATGTTCTTCCTGTGTCTGGGCGCTCCAGTTCTCTCTCACACACGAAGGACATACTGCCAGTTTTGGCTTCTGGGAAAAGTTCCCTGGTGTGAGTGTGTTTGTGTCTGTGTGTTGTCGTGTGCTCTCACGAGGCACCAGTTCTGTAGGGTTTGGGCATTTACTGGGACAATTATTAATTGCAGCAGTAAATCACGAAATTGATTATTTTAATGGCTTTAAAATCCAACCATGCGATATAACTCAAACAACGCAGACACACAGGTACTAATACACGAGGATATATTTATTAATACATAGAATATGCATGTAAACCTAACAAATCTTATCGAGAGGGTTATCAGAATACAAAAGGTATATATTCAGTCAGTTACGAAGAGTTACACATATCAAGAGAACATACGTTCTGTATATCATTCATTTAGACCGTTTCGTAAATTAACTTAGTTATAACTTCTACATTGGATACTCAAAACAAGTACATAACTCTTAGGAATTAAATTGATATCAACTGGTTGGGATAACAATTGAATTCTCGAACTGTAATGCAGTGAAGTTGAATACTCATCCAATCTCTGGGGATTCAGATCTCCTGCGGGCACAAAGAAACAGTTGCAGGCTGTTGCTATCCAATCCGCGCTCTCTGGCTGCGTGCCAGGCTGTGCTGTTTGGCTTGCGACGGTGCGCTGCTGATGCTCTTTGAAGTCCAACTAGTTAGCTTTAACTAGCGAAGTTTGTGCACAGGAGAAAAGATTACTGTGGGTCCCAGCAGGTCAGGAAGAGGACCGGTTCGTTCCCGATGAAGCGGTCCCAGGACGGTCCCTTCTATTCACAGGGAAGGGTTGTGTATTGTCACTTCTTCTGTTCTCAATATATGCTAATGAGATGCAGATTCAGAGTAACACAGCCATTCTAAGATGACATGGTTCTTAAGGGACTCTGTTTAAAGGACTAGACTCTAGGTGAGCAAACTTCCTTTGAATACATCAGTATCCTTGAAAACTGTGGCCAATCCAGCACATTGGAAATAAATGTGACCAAGACTAGAGCTTCTGTCCAATGTTAAAACCGAAGGTGGGCAATCTTTGCAGACCATAGTACTCAGTCTGTAGCAGTTGTGGAGAGTTAAATATCTAGGAACACATATTGATCAGAGGCTGAGTTACACTGAGAATATAGACAACATTTTTAATAAAGCAAACCAGAGGCTGTTTTTAATTCAAAGATTAAACAGCTTTAATGTTCATCAGAATGTCCTAGAGTTGGCCTTGCTGAGAGCATCCTAGCATTTAATATGACAGTTTGGTATGGAAACCAGAAGTTGAAAAACAAAACCAAACTGTCCAGGACTGCGAAAATGGCAGGAAAAATAATTGGGAAACGGCAGCTCCAGCTCAACTCAGTATTATATCATTATACAGATCTCAGAATAGTAAGGGACATCAAAGGCAAATTCCGCACACCAACTCCATTCTCAATTCATAATGCCCCCATCATGAAGACGATATAGGGTACCAAAGTCAAATAAAAAATATAAGAAGTATTTTTCCCCTCTGCAATTAAGCTGCTCAATTAATGTATGTAACTGTAGTCTCTCCACTACCTATTTATTTATCCACATAATTATTTATTACACACTGATTTAATGTACTGTGGTTGTGATTGTGATTTCATGTAACTTTTATATTGTGCTTGTGTGTTTTATACTTTATGGGAGAAGACAAAGAAACATTTTGAGGAAAATCAAGTATCCATCTATAATCTATATTTTTTCAATAAACAGCTGCTACTACAGTATAGAACTTTCCGAATTTTACCTTGAGATCCAGTGTTCCACTTGGTAAACACACAGAGTAAACTGAAGAGTAAATTGTAATAAACATTCTTATTAATCTGCACTCACCAACCAATCTGTTCCAAGAAAAAAATCCAGTGATCCAGTGTTCCACTTGGTAAAGTACTAAATTGCTTTGTCTATTGCATACTTTAGTCTATATTGGATATTTGGTTTGTCTACTCCCATACTTTAGTATCCTCTAGTGGGCAGTAGCTGTTACTTTGTGTTTCTTGTAATTGAGGACATGGTTAGTATTGTCATGACCACCAGCCAGCAGAGATCAACGCGTAAGCGAGCTAATCAGTACCAGCAGCGGGTTACTATTAAAAAGCGCCGCCGCACGAGTTAACACTTGCAATTGCGGCACGCCGGGCTATTTATACTATTCTAACCTACTTCCCATTGCTCGGTATTGAGTTCACTTCTTGTTGCTCTGCCTAGCGTTTCTTACCCTTTTGCCTTCCTGGAATTCTGTCTACACCTTTTGCCTTTGGACTTCGGATCTCGTCTCCCCCCTTGGATTGTTTGCTATCTGTGCCTATTTCGGATTTGGCCCTGCAGCTCTCAATTCTGTCCCACAGTTTGGACTGTTCGCCACCAGTGCCTTTACTGGATCTCGACCTACCTTACGCCTTCGGACTATGACTCAGCTCCTGGTTTTGCTTTGTTCGCTTACTACCTCCCAACGACTCCTGCATCTGCATCGGATCCTTTACACCTCTACAGAGCAGCGTTACAAGTATGAAGCTGGGCACTAATTTCGGCAGCCAAGTTTGTTACAATTGGTATTAAATTTAGATCATCCCCAGTCAGTACACTGTTTTCAGTTCACTGCAATTGACCCCTCTAGATGAGTAATGCCATGTGAAGGGTGTGAGGCTTTTCTAGTTACTATACACATTCTCTTCCTTTTAATTTTGTTTGCATAGTTTTATATTGGGAGACACTGAAATTCATATGATGGAGAACAAAGCAGGTGTTTTTAGAAGTAGGGTGAAAGACAACACAGAGTAAATTGAAAATTCTGAATTTTATTTACAGAAAGAATTCCAAGAATGAATGCACTTAAATCTTCCACTTTGCCTGTCTACACTGAAATAAAACATTCTTTTTAATCTGCATTCACCAGCCAATATACTCCAAGAACAAATGTTTTATCCTGCAATATATATATAGTATAATAAAACACATTTCTTAAAATCACACAATGTTGCATCTTTTTTATGCATATTCTGCTTTATAAATCATAATGGTAGCATCAGCTTATTCCAGTTTTTTTAAGGATTCTGATACAACTGTTTTTGCTTTAGTGTAAGTGAGGCCCTTGTAGGTTCCACTGATATTAATCTCTAGAACACTGCCATTGAAGCAGGTAATCTGCACAGTTCCAGTGTAGGGGAGATCTACTTTGGCTCGACCAATTGTGATGTCAACATCCATAGTTTTCCCTGGAGGAACTTGGACAGAAAAAGACAGAACCTCAGTTTTCTGTTCTGAATACTCTAAGCCATATGTACTTTCTGCTTGCAATGTGAAGTTTAACCCATCAAACACTTCTGCAACCTCTGGAATCCCAGCGCTCACCTCCATGTGAAAGTTAGCTTCCATCTTGTTAGGCACAGACCATGATGACTTTTTGGTTATTGTCTTTGAGGTGTCTATTTTGTACTCTTGAGTGACTGAAGACCTGTTTTGATAAGTCATTGATTTTAATTCTTCGGTAATCACTTGGGGAGTGACTTGATGAAGTGTGGGATACTGGACATTGGTCAATATGGTAGACTTGATGGTATTGAGGAATAGGAACCCTAGGGAATCAATGTCTGCACCTGAGTTTCCTACAATTCCAATGCAGATTCCAGAGCCAACATCAACGGGGTATTCTGTTTCTAATTCCAATTCTGTCATATATGCAAAGAATTCTCGTGAGTGATTTGTCTTGAATTTGATGGCACCTAGTCGTGTCCCATTTCCATTTCCCCACAGTGAAAGTGAGGTAAAACGCTCTCCATCTTCAAACTGAAACTCTGTAAATTTGCCAGAAGGATATCCAAATTCTCTGAATTGACCATCAGTGAGCCAAACCTTTATAGCCTTCACCTGCCAGCCTCCTACCCACACCCATATCTTTTTCAGTGTGGCTCCATTGTTTTGACCACTGATGTAGAAACAACGGCCTCCGTCTCCACCAATAATCTGCACGGTTGTCAAGTATAACATGTTCTTACTCTTGGTGTGGACCTTGAAGGAAAACAGAATAAATAAATTAGAGCAATTTTAGGAGTTTAATCCATCAAGCTAAAACTAAATTCTGTATAAATGAACTGATCCAACTGTTATTTTGAAATTCACCCTACCAGCTGCGATGAACTGTCATTGATTCTTCACACAACAGATTTTTGTTCAACATATTTCTCTTGTAACATTTTGACAAAGAAACACCTCTGATTTGGGGATTTACTGTAATGTGGAAAATTTGCAAAAGATGATTAATGACCAGCATGTGCATTGCAAATTTTCAGATATGCATTTCAAACCAATCTCCTGGCCTTAACAAATGCTTCCTGAGCTCTTTATTGTGCAATTCTCTGAGATACATTCAGGGAACTATTACACATCCCATTTTGAAGGTGCCTGTTTAAGGTCAAGGATGTCTTCTGGCTTAATTTTAAAATTTTTATCACACCCGTAAGCATCAATAAAAGACCACTTCCAAAGACCCTTCTTCAAGCTCTAGTCCAAATTTAATTCATATGTAGTCCTATCAATAGTGCTTGAACTCGGCTTTAATAACCAAGCAGCTACAGAGTTTTGCAAAGGTGTTCAGACCCTTCCAATGGTATCCAGTTTTGTGAAATTACAAAATGATGTATACACATTTTGTTAAACTTGCATACACTGTTTTCTAAACAAAATCTACATGTTAAAACTGAAGTCTTCAGAGTAAGAGAAATTACATTAAATCTTCCCAAAAACTAAAGAGAAAAACAACTGAATAAATATATTTATTGCATGAGCATTCAGACCCATGAACTCCATATTTGGTAGAAACACATTTGTCAGCAGTTACAGCCACAAGTCTTTTTATTTAAGTCTCAACCAACTTGCCTTTTATTCTTTTCAGGTTTCCTTAAGTTCTCTCAAGCTGCTGGAGAATCACTTATGGATAGCATTTTTCAAGTCTTTACACATTACACCCGTTTGGTGATCCTCCACTCTTTCCTTAATTCTCCAGTCTGGCAGCCGAAGCTATTTCGATTAGTTATGCCATCCTACAATGCCCAACCCATGAATTCTGCTTTTCCTGGGAGCCTGACAGCAGAAATCCATTCCCCAAAGACAAGTGAGCAACAAGCACCCAGAGGCTTCCTAATCTGTTCTGTGTCCTGTCTTTGCTAACTACCACTGCCCTTCTCCGGTGAAGCAGCCTGGACTTTTAAAGCCTACTCTACCACAACAGGTTGCACTGCAGCACCAGCTTCAGGTCTTCACTCAGCTTCGTACTCCAATTGGCCTGGCAGCTCCTGGCCCTCACCCTGGGACCCGGGCCTCCTCTTCCCTGGTCATCCAGGACTCCAGGGCTCTATTCGTTCAGCCACTTTAGTCTTTCAGACAATCTAGCTTGCCAGCCTGAAACCCATGCTATTCAGGAAGCCTGCCCCCAATCCCATGTGGTCCCCTTTATTTTCAGGGAGCTCGGCATTGGGTTCTGTCCCAAAGCGGGGGTTCCCCGATTCTGATCGACACACTGAGTTGGGCTCTTTGAACAAGGCCTGGGCAATTCTTGCTCCACTGGACATTTCTTTATTACTTAATTTTTCCTTTTATTTTTCTTTGGTGTCAGTCTGCCTGTTTTCCCGCCCGCATCCCAGACAATTCAAGAGATGTGCCCACCTGACCCGTGCGGTCAACCCCTTTTCAGGGAGCTGAGCTGTTGGTTCTGCCTCGATGCCAAGGCTCCCTGATTCCAGTTGATGGGCTGGAGTGGGCTATGCCTATGAAGACTCATGCTATGCCATGCCAGCCTTTTTTCGCCTGGTACTGTATGTGGACAACTAGCTTCTCTTCAGTCTGTGGCACTTTTGCTCTTTTCTCTTTTGTTACTAACTGGTTTGGGCTGATTAACCCTGCCAGCCAGAAATGTATTATTCTATTACCATTCCCTTTCACTCCCCTTTCCCTCCATCCTGGAGCACTTGATCCCTAAACAGTTGTTTCTTTTGGACATTTCCACCACTCTCTGGTTCCTTGCGCTTGGGTTCTGACTAATCACCACCTGCATATCTGTATTCAGCTATGATGTAACAGTGTTTTGCTCTTAAGGAGACTGGACTGAAAAAGGTTTTCATATAGTATTTGCAAGTACTTTATTTCACGAGGAAAAACAGCAGCCAAAAGCTTGGGAGAAATTAGAATCGTTTATTGGGATGTGGAGATTTGGCGTAACCCGCTTGGCTGAGGGCCAACCTCCCGGCCGTTGGACGGGGAGGACAGGACCCCCATACGACCAATGGGGTAGCTGCAAAGGTGGAGAGGGGGTGGAGGAGGGATGCAGAAAACGAACGAGGAAGAGGAGAGGGTGATGTTTGATATATATGGAGACCGGTTGCTTACGTCAGGATTAGAGAGAATTGCAGCAGCTGTGTCGAATGAGCTCTGCTGCCTTCATTCCTCACGAACTTTCATTAAAAACTCCATTAAATGAATTTTCCTTTAATTCTATAATAGTTTTTTTGTCCCTGCTGAGAAGGATTCCCAGAACATGACAGTTTAAGTATGAATTACTAATTCAAAGCATCATAGCTGCAAGATTTAAAGGAACAAAATTGTAAAACAGTGTTTTATATTCAGGTCTGAGTACTTTTGTAAGGCATTATAAGATGCTTTCTGGCAACACAAATTTTAAATTTCTCTCTCATTCCAAAACTCTCAATATGTCCATCATTCATTTGTTTTTGTCCTCATTTTGGTATAGAACATAGCAGAAGAATTCTTTCCTATTCTCCTAGACATCAGATATAGACTAAAATTGGAAAGTTTTTTTCATTGCAACTGTCAATGGAACAACATGTGAGAGGACCACTTTCTGATTAATGTGGTTCAGACAAAAAC